TGTGTGTGTGTGTGTGTGTGTGACAGAGAGAATGAGTCATGTATGTGTTTGCATGCACATGCGTGAGGAGTGTGTGACCCGGCACCACGAGTGCAGCCTTGTGAAATCCCTCATAGTTTTGACGCAGGCGTTGAAAATCAGTCTGCACGCAGAAGCACCTTGGTTCAGTAGAAAACAGAATGCATGCAATACAGAGGAGCTGACAAACACCTGCATACTTATGTACTACTTTACTGCATCCTAGTGTACTCATGTACTCGATCGAAAGGGTTGGCCACTGTACAGAAATGTGACATAACGCGTCAGTTTGTACGTTAATATTTCTGTTCTCATGTTGGCTGGTTTTTTTTTTTCATCCCCTTTTTCAATTTCTCTGTAAACGTGTTGCTTTTTCTCTTTCTGTGACCAATCTGCTAATAAATGGTGAGGACGTGTGTTGTCCACTCACCCGTTCCTAAATAACATCCTGGTTCTTCTGGTTTCTTCTGCTGTTTGATTTTGCCCAGACTTCAGTTCCAGCAGGTTGTGAGGAAAATGCTTTTACTTTTTGTTTTTTTTATATTTTTATCAATTAGTTGAAGCGTTCTGGTGATTACCCATAAGCCACCTGTTCTCAACACCACGAGTAAAAGTGCTTTGTCTTCAAACAAGTGCAAGATCAACGGTGACTCCTGATTGAGCAGAGTTTTATTAAAGAGTCACTTTACTTTTCTGGGATTTGAAACAAAGTAAAAGACGCTTTTACCAAGATGGTGAATTTTCTTCTTCAGCAGATAAACATTTAAAAAAGAGCAAAGTTTCTGGTGGAAACATGAAAGTGTTTTTGTATTAATTCTTGGATCAGTAGATAAAAGTTGGCTTCATGTTGTGAGTAATAAAGATGCACTGTTTGTTTTGGTGGAACTACTAAAAAAGTGATTTAGGTGAGGTGTGTTTTTTGTTCTTTTAAAATTGTCTGGATTGAGTTTGGACGATTGTGTTTGATTATTTATTTTAGGAGAAATTTGAACTTTAGTTTTTCTTTTTCATAATTCTGAAAGTAATCAAAAGCTTTTTAG